GCCAGCCATGCTGGCTGGGGAATTCTGGGAGTTGAAGTCCACACATCTTCAAGTTCCCAAGTTTGAGGAACACTGATCTAAATCCATTAGAACCCAGGAATCCTTACAAGGATAACCCAGATAATGATAGAGGTAAATCCCCCTCAAAGCCCCCTCCCTTACACATGAATTAAAATGCTGGCAGAATTTCTTGCAGACAAATATTTACTCTGCTTCCATATATTTTGATCAAACTTGTGCAGGGGAATTTTTTTGGAAGTTAATGGGTCAATTAATGTATTATTAACAAGAAATTACTCTGAGCAGTGAAGAATCTCAGATAACAACCTCCCCCACATCTTTAATACCAAACCGAAAAAGGACCCACAAACATTCAAACGCTCAGACTTTTGGTCCTTACTATCCTCTCCTCATCACTTACTTCCAGTCTGATGGACAAATATACAAAGAGTTCAAAGGAACACCCAGAGGATCACCCATCTCAGGATTCATAGCAAAAAATAGTGATGCAACATCTGGAAACAATAGTCCTCCTATAGATACAACCCAAAGTTATGTGGACAGCACATTCATCATTATATATATAAAAAGGTCAACTAGAGACCACATATAAAATCATCAGTAATTCCTTCCATGGAATCAGATTTACAAGAGAGGAAGAGAACAACAACAAAGGACCCTTCCTGCACATATTCATCCACAGGGAAAACAAGGGCAAGCTACAAACCCAAGGGCACCACAAAACTCACAGAGATCAAATACTCAACTATCACAGCAACAGCACACAAAAGAAGCGATGTCAGAATTCTCTACAGACAAGAAAAAACACATTGCAATAACCCAGAACTCCAAAAAGCAGAAATAGACTATCTATATAACATATTCCAACACAACGGATATCCATGTACAAAAAGTTGCTATCCATGCAACCAGCAACTACCCAACCTGCATAACCTGTGAAAAGGATAAGCCTACCCTATATGAAAAATATCTCTGGAGCTTCCAACATACAATCCCTAGGCATCATGGTAGCCCATAAACCAACAAGATCTATCCAGAGCATCCTCAGCAACCCAAAGACCCCCAGTCAAGGAAGACATAACAGGAGTCATCTATAACATACAGTGCAAGGACAGTGAAAACCACTGTGTGGGGCAAAGGCTGAAAATTGAGAGAAGGCATCCACGACCATCAACTGATAGTCAGGAGACACAATAAAAACTCCTTAATTTCACAACACACTGACATGTTCAACCACAATTTCAAATGGGAAACTGTAGACATCTTAGACCAAGCGAGATCCACAAACATAAGATAATTCCTACAGACATGGCACTCTGACCATTAATAGACTTACTGAAATAAGTTCCATCTACAAACCTTTCAAGAAGGGAAGTAACAAAAGATCAAGGAAAGAGCAAACCGACTTTAACCCTTCCTTCTTCATCCCACACCTACTAACCAAACCCAAGGAAGCACCACATAAACAAGAATAATCAAAGGAGAGATGACGCCCACCCAAAAACCAATCAGGGAAGAAACAATACCCCAATCAAGGCTTATAGGACAAGCTACCATATATAAAGTGCCAGCAAACTCTACTCCCCGCTGCGTTGATGATGTTCTCCAGCCTGGAGATGAAAGGTCTGCAGGAAGGAAAGTAAGTTCAAAGAACACCAAGAACCCCCCAGAAATCAACAAAAGCAAATATAAAAGCTGATGGCTGCTCTATCCTTACTAAGCATTTGAATAATAAAAATGTTTCCAAAATCAAAACTGTTCAGAAGCTTCCACAAAACCAGGAATGAGAAAGCCAACCATATTTCTGGAGGCAATGTGTTCTAGAGAGAAGGGGCTACAGCTGAGAAGGTCTGTCCCATCCATTATATCAGTGTTCTGCTTGGGGTCCAAAGCTGAAATAACTTCTTTAATTTAGCTCAGCCTTCTCCAACTTGTCAACTTCTGGTTGGGTTGGGACTCCCCTGGGAGTTACAATTCTAAAATGCCTAATAGGTACTAGATTGAGGAAATCTGCTATAGGTCATAGAAGTGGCCCATCTGGACTGATGATCTACATTGCTATTCTGGAATCCCCTTTCTGAGATTCCCAACATCCTTTTAGTTTTCCAAATGGCCACTAACTCTCTCCCCTTCTTTGTCTCCAGTTTCCTTCACTTTCATGATGACAATATGAACAGTAAAACTTTCTCTCCTGCAGGCATGTGGGCCAGGCATTGAACAACACTGTGACAAAAATCTTTATGTAAGTGGAATCTGCTACCTGTTTGACACCAAACTGCACAACCCCAAGAACATAACCACTGGATATCAAAGTAAGGAGATACATTATTATTAATATTTTAAAATTCTGCCTTTCTGCCTATAGACTTCCCCATTCTGGTGCCCTCCAAGTGTGTAAGAGTATCTCATAGTCTCCCAATAGCCATTAGGATTGAGAACAGTGGGAATCAGAGTCTGACTTATCTGGGGGGAATTTGGTTAAGGAACACCTTAATAGAACCCCAATCCAATAGTGCAAATTTAATTCTTTGCCTCCTCCAGCACTGAATGGGTTTCTGACTTCCTAACAAGGCAAAAAAACATTTCAAATCTTTTAGTATCCATCATTTCCTTTCATTTATTTGATGGTTAAAGGTATATCCTGCTTTTCTACGTCTATAAGCGATTGTATAATTTTTTTTAAGTTAAAAGTTAAGTTTAAAGTTTGTAAAATTAATAATAGTCATCTCCTGGCTCTTAGCCAATCTTGGCTGATCTTTGAAAGGTAAACAGGGTTGGACTTGGATAGGAGGATCCTAGAAAAGAGCAGGGTGAAAAATCAACCCTTTGAGCTGTTCTCAAGTTTTCTTGAGATCGTATAGATTGCTGAAAAACAGTATGTGCTGTTTTGTACATTTCTGTTCCACTTTGCTAGTCCTGTTTCAGACTACCTCCTTGCTTCAAACCCCAGTATTGTCTTAGTCTTAGGTGTGGCTTCTACAGAATTTTTTGCCAAATTGTAATTGTTAATATGACCGAAGAAAGGAGTTATTAAACACTTGGAGAATATTTAATCAAATCCAGTTTAGTTTCTGTCCAGCTTCATGCATGTTTTTGTCCTAGGCCTATCTAATTTTTGGCACACCAATCAACAGGTGTGCCAAACACCTGTTACCGACACCTCAACAGCCTAGAAATCCCAGCTTTGTCCTCCCTGCCCTTATTTCACCCGAGATGTTCTTTCTTTCACTTCATCCCACAGAGTGCCTGAAAGGGAAAGTGGATCTGGTGTTTCTTTTTGATGGGTCAGGAAGCATGAAACCATCTGACTTCAAGACTATCAAGGACTTCATGATTGACGTCATGAGTGCATTGCAGAACAGTTCTGTACATGTAAGGTGTACTTACTGAATACCATGTACTGGGTGGGTTTCTGCATAAGAACCTTCAATTTTTAAGAGGCAGAGTTAACTTTTTTGGCCAGGGAGACTGTTTTCCCCAGTGCAGATTGTAGGCATGAACTTCTGATCTGAATCAAGACTACAGCAGCCTCCCTCCTTCTACCTAGTGCCCTCCAGTTATGCTGGGACTTCAGTTCTTAAATTCCAAGCCAGCATTACACTCTCATTTAAACAGTATATCTCTATTTTAATATTTCTGTTTTAAAGGTAAGCAGAAAGCCTGCCTGCCTGCCTGCCTGCCTGCCTGCCTCCCTCCTTCCCTCTTGCTTGCCACCCAACCCCAAAATGACTTTGGGCAGTTTACATGTATAAGTAAATCACTCCATACATTACCAAAGAAAACCTGCCTGGGGGCTGACAAACAACCTAACCGCAGGCCTGGGAGCACAGCCAAATTTTGTGGAACCCTTGTAAACTGGTTTATCCCCAGACTGGTTTATCTGCTGTTCATCCCATGATCTATTTGGACAACTTCCAAGTTAAAATACTGGGAAATAAAAAAGACAGCAGGGCAGAAATAGTCCCAAGGAGGCAAAAGACTGTCTAATGGGAGCACTGAAGCAGACCAGCCCCTGTGTAAAGGCTCTTCACTGGGGAAGGAAAGCAGGCAGGCAGGAAGGGTCCTGAAGTCAGACCCTCCCCATTTCTGCTGCAGTGTCCTAATTGGTGGGATTTTCCCTGCTGGATGGTGATATGTTGAAAAAGGTGGGTGCCAGCCCTTCAAAGTAGCACCAACCATGAGTACTAATTCTACCTTTATTGTAAGGTTATATTAACAGAATCTTGCCAGTCTGAAAGTATTTTTCCCCTCCTTTATTTTACTCTCCAGAAAACTAGGGAGGGTCCCTTCTGAAATGCCTCCCACGCTCCCTCTCTTTCTGTGGGCTGAGATATCTTTTGCATGATGGTTTTCTAGTCTGCAGCTCTTCCTCCTGTCTCCCAAAGTCATTCCCACATACTATTATAGTGGGCAAAAGCCAGAGGGAAAAACTAAGCCCCTTGCTTAACAACCACTCGTTTAGTGACCATTCAGATTTACAAGTCCTTGTACTTATGGCCATTGCAAGCATCCCTGCGGTCACATGATCGTGATTTGCAACCTTCCCTGCTGGCTTCCAACAAGCAAAGTCAATGGGAAAGCCAGCAGGAAGTCATGTCAGGTCCTCACTTAATGACTTATGTGGTCCTTGCTTAACGACAGCAACTGGGACTGCTGGAACTGCTGTTGCTAATCAGCCTGGCCATGTGGTTTTCGACTTAAAACCACATGAGTTTCCAGTCCCAATTAGCGTCATTAAGCGAGGACTACCTATAAGGGCTGGCACCTCACAAATCAGGATGGTGCCATTTGACAGTGACTGGGAACAGATTTAACTGAGGCTGAATAGGATAGGCAATGGAGACAGTGAATTTTATGCTGAATGTTATCCATAACTTAAGAATGGATGAATAGCACATTAACTCAGAAATGAGGAAAGGCCCCTAAGTACGAAGAGTTATTTGTATTTAAAAATGTAGCCCAAAAGTGGCCTAGTGGATGGCATTTTGAAATACAAGTAAAATTTCCTCCCTTATATTTAAAACCTGTCACTCCTCACATATACAAAACCAGCACATTGAGGCATTCTTCCCTGACATGCAGGGGTGCCCATAGGGCATGGTCAAAAGATGGCAGCCACAATGGTGCCATAGAAACTCCATCTATTTTTAATGTATGACTTGTGACATTAAAAAATGGCAACTACAACAGCATGATCAAAGCTTTGTTTTATATGTGTGTTGCATGACACACATGAGAAACAGGTGAAGCTTTGAACACACCATTGTGGCTGCCATTATGACTTTTTAACTGTACGCTGTCGATGCCCCTGCTGGCATGCTAGGCTTCTACAGTTTTTAAGTTCAGAAAAATATTCCAACTGAGTCTCTTTCTTCATGGAGTCAGTACTGACAAAATTACAATCCCTGGGAGATGGTGTGGGGAGGGAGGAAAAGGAACAGGAGGAAGAGTAGGCATAAATAATCCATAGGCAGAAAGTGGCTCCCTTGGCTCTTTTTTCGTAAAGGGCAACTTATGAGAGGTTGGCAAGAAAATCGTTCAAAAAGGCTCTCTCTTAATTAAGGAGGCTGCCTTAATTATAAATGAGGCTGGGAAATTCTTCTTAGAGCTTCCAAGGCTCTAGATTTACTCCAGATTAACATTGGTTAATATGAATGATTTTCAATAGCACCCTTTCATCCGACAGCTTTGGCAAGGAGAAAGGCGCTTTGTTCTGCACAAGACCTTTGCAGCCGTGCCGTTAACACCATTCTCTTCTCTCGTTCCACCCTTCTAGTTCGCTGCCGTGCAGTTTTCAAACGATCCCCAACTCGAATTTGATTTTAATGACTATATCAGAGATCCAAATCCTGAAAGGCTCTTGGCCAATGTAAAACATGCCCAGCTCCTAACAAACACCTTCGCAGCCGTCAAATTTGTTGCGTGAGTAGTTTTCCTTTCAGTTTTCCTTTCTTCTCCTTTCCTTTCCACCTTTGGGAGGTTGGGTGGAGAGGGGCAGCTTGAGAGGTGAAGACAAGTTGGAGATGTAGGATGGTGTCTCCTTTCCAAAAATTTAGGACACAATTGCACAGAAACTTCTGGTGATTAATCAAGCATGACATCCAGACCTGGAACGTGCATCAAATTTGAGGAGCAGGAGTGCTTTAACCACAATTTGAAAATTACATTTTGCCTGGTACAGTCGGGCATGTAGCCCAAAGCTGGTTTACTGTAGTAAAAAAATGTTTCCAACCTCTGCATTGATTAATGGGAAGCTGGAGTGGCATTCCTGTTTTTGATATTCCCGCAGGACATAAAGCTGAGAAGCAATATACAGCTTTCCCCATCTAAAACATCTCCCAGTTCATTCGTTGCTTTTTGCTGTCTTATGAAAATGTTTGGAAAACGAAATCTGGAAGTTTCAGCCATCTAGTCACTACAAAGTGGGATAACCACAGATGGCTGTAGCTTGCCACATTGTCTGATGCGAAAATGATAGATAAGTGGTTTAGCCATGATCAGTCCCTGGCTTGGCTTACTGTGTTGTACAAACCAGCTCATAAATAATGCTAGATTCTGCATCTAGCTTGGGAATGGTGATGGAAGTGAAGAGAGACAATTTAATATGAAGCCTGCACTGTCCTTTGGCAAACGGTATTAACTTTCAGCTGATACAGCTTCCCAAATTAGATCTCTTCCATAAATAGTAGCCTTAACCTCAATTCACCCCAGCAGACTGCCTTGTTGGGTTAGCGTAGTTTAGCCAGACCACATTTGGAAGAATCAGATTATGGGAAGGTTGCTAGAGAGCTTTAAAGTTCTAAAGGTGCCTTCAGGTCATAATAGCTAAAGTATGCTCAGCATTTTCCTTGGTTTAGATCAGTGTTTCTCAAACTTATCAACTTGAAGATGTGCAGACTTCAACTCCCGGTTGACAAGTTCAAGAAACACTGGTTTAGATAGTAATTCCTGTGTTTGCTGGTGGCAGAAATGAAGTCTTCATTCCCGAACGTGGCATGCGAAAAGAAGCAAACAAAGTGATTGTCATTATCACGGATGGGGACGCCACAGACGTGGACAAGGGACATATAGAAGCTGTCAAGAAAAAGAACATTTTCCGCCTCATCATTGGGGTAAAGTATACAGAAGTGTTGTCCATCTACCCTACACATTACACTTTTCTGCTACTCTACTTTCATTCATTGTTAATATGTCAAAAGTATCTCAAAAAGAGAAAAGTGAAGAAATAAATTTCAATTAATAATCTCAGAATTTTTTTCAGGTATTAACAAAAGTTAATCCTGTACCTTTCTGAGTATAAAGTTCAAGACTTCCTCAAGTTGAACTTGAGTTCTGATCATTACATTGAACCAGCCATATGGTTTTCTTTGCAACAATACAGAAGTGGTTTTCCATTGCCTTTTTCAAGAATGTTTTTTCAACTTCCTCCTCTCAGCCTGCTATTTCCTGCAAATCTTGCCTTCAAAGATTAACCAGATCCAATCTTCCTTACCTTCCCCCCCCCCAACCTTTTGAGACCTGCCAAGAATATCAAATGGTCTCATTTTCTAAGTATTACAGCTGCTGCATTGCTTGTTGGTACTAAGTCAGTTTTTCTATTAATTCAGTGCCACAAATAGGCCAACCAGGGATGGTTCTGCTACTGATTTCCCGTGTCATGCAATCTCACCTTTGGCTACCGGTGACAAATGATTATACGGCTTCCAGTCTGGGCCCCAGGAAAACCAAGCCCTCTGTTTTTCTAACCTTCCCAATAAAACACCTGTGCCTTGCAGTCAAGGTGCTATAGTCAGAGGGAGAAAGGAGGAAGAGGAACAGTGTTTTGATGACTGACACAGGCTGTAGAGGGCAAGGGAAGATTAGCTCACAATTTAATTAACAGATTTAATGACCAGGTTGGGCTATGTGGATCAGTGGCTGGTTGGGCTGGAACCAGAGATGGCAAAAAAGCAGTGACGTCACCCCTCCTTTCTTCTTTTACATTGTTCTCTGAAACGTGAACCTCCTTCTCCCCAAAACACAGTTCTGCAGCTAAATAGCATCAATGTCTATAGTGTGGGAGACATTTTAAACAGAAAAATTAAACAAACTTTCCAAAGAAAGCACAGGCCTATGGTATTTTTGACCCCTGATCTTCTTACTTCTTATGATCATATGGAGAGTATGTAACAAATGATCATGCACCTGATTCTTTACTGCTCTCTTCCTTTTTCTAGACCTTTCAAAGTTCTCCTTTTTCAAGGTTGACTACAGAAACCAAAAACATTGTCTTAATAGTTCCTTTCTTGTCTCTCCAGATTGGTATCCACCTTCATACAGCTGAGTCCCAAAAGAATCTCAAACTGATTGCCTCAAAACCCACAGATCAATTTTTTAAAATCCTTGCCAGTTTTGAACAGCTTAAAGACAGTTTCAATGACCTCCAGTCTAAAATCTTTGCCATTGAAGGTAAGTTGGGGCCAGTAAGGGCTGAGGTCTATTTGGAAAGATTGAGGAAGAAATGCTACATCAGTCTGCTTTTGAAATAGAGTCTTAATTGTGTTTGATGTTTGATATCGAGAAACTGATAAATGGGGACACTTACCTGCCTTCTCCATGCTGATGCCCTCCAGATGTGTTTGGACTACATCTCTACTGGCAATAATAGTTTGTGAATCTGGGAAGATGTTCTCAACTGATCTGAATGGTACCACATTGAGGAACTCTTCCTATTCCAGTAGAACCTTCCAACATATGTGCTTTGCCCAACATGCCTGGAGCTTCTAACATAGCTTTTGGCAGGCAGAATTTCCAGCGGACTTTATCCAGCAACGGAAGCCAACTTTGAAAAGAGAATTGGCAAATTTCCAGCCTTTGAGGACACCAGACCCTCTGCCCTAGTCGCCATCCCTTCATTCATTCCACAAAAACCTTGATTGGAATAGCTCAATGGGAGGGTAATGCACTCAGAAGATACCCGAAGTCATTTTCCATATCTGTGTGTGGGGTTGGTGATGGACATCGAAATCCTAAATTGGATTTGTTTATGTGGACATATGGTTCTCATAAACCACCGTAAAAATTTGGTCGTCTTTAATTGATCCTCAGATCCCACTGTTTCGGGAATGGGAGGGGGCAATACTTATGCAAAAGCCTCTCTGATCCCTGCCTCCCATCTGTGTTCATGACAGGTACCAGTGACAGCAGTTCCTTCCACCTGGAATTGTCATCCAGCGGATTCAGTGCAGATATATCCCAGGTGAGGCTGAAGGATTGTAAAGCCCCCCCCAAAACTGCTCCCATCTATGGCAGCAGGAAGGAGGCACTTTACGAACCGCATATTTGCATGATGGAATCTTCATTCTTCTCTTTTTGTTATATTTTACTTTTTTTAATTCCCAAAAAAGGAGTTTTCTCCAGTAAGGCAAATGCTTCTCCTTTCTTGGAGACTCCTCCATTTGTGAAGTGAGGTCCAATGAGGTCTTTTGTTTACCCTGCAAATCAGGGCTGAGTAACACTCCTAGATGAGCATCTATAAGATTGTAATCTCTGTAATCTCTGCTTCCTGGTGACCTGCCTTTGTAAAGCAAA